GATTCAAGTGTAATACATTACCTGCTACTTGCATACCTACAATACCAAACTGATCTTTATCTGGTTTAAGACTTTGATGTATCCAATATAGTCTGTCATTAGTCTCTTGCCATAACTTAATCTCATCGTCAGTTTTTTTTTGTGGGGTACAAATTAATCGAGAGCATTCTACATACATAAGTTCAAAAACTGTCTCCAGATATTTCACTACAAGCATAATATCTAGGTGTCTCCTCATATAACCTTCTCCCTTTCTATTAGCACTTGCAATACTTTGCTTCTCTGATGTACTAATAAAGGAGTCTCCAATAGGAAGATTTTTCAACAATGCTCGAATAGCAGATACTATAACTATCAATTGGTATGTCCCTTCATTTAAAGTTTTTGCAAGTTCAGAGCTGAATGCTGAATTATTCCAAATATCTTTTAAGACATTAAGAATTTCTTTGATCACGCGTTTAATATCTTCTTTTGATTCTTTCCAATCCTCATCATATATTAATTTAGCTGGTTTCATCTTGATTTGATGCCTATTAAAATCTAGTGCAAATTCTCTACACATTTCTTGAACCATTAGCATAGGTGTAAGTATCATTTTACGAGCAGATTTCTAATGCAAATTATATATTGTTACCATTTTTGATGCCCCTTGAAAAGGTTATTTCATGGTAGGTTAATAACTTTATATATAATATTTGCTAGGATAATATATAATAAAGATATTATAAATTACGGATGGGAGAGATTAATATAATCATAAATATAATGTAATAGACATTAGATTATGAGTATAATGAGGTTAAAGGTAGATAACAAGAGTATATTCATGACGTGATCAGCTAGAATGAAATCTGGGATCATAATATAAGGAATATATGATAATAAATAAGGCACTATTAATAAAGGTCATTAATTTATAACATTATTATGTTTTAAATTATTATTTTACCTTATTATTATTTAATTCATTAATTTATTTATTATTCATTAATTCATTTTATTAATTTTTTATTCATTAATTTAAATTATTTAATTTCTAACTAAGATATATTACTTTTATACATTTTAGAGGTTTTACAAATAATACTTTTGTTATGATCTAAATACTACTTTTGCTAGTATCATAATATCAGTTTTGTTATGATAGTATTGCTAGTTTTGCTATGATAGTTTTGCTAACTTTGCTATGATAATTTCATTATGAATATTATGCTTGTAAAACTATCTAAAAATATCTACCAATAATACTATCTTAATTATTATCCAATAAAATATAACTAAATAATTATCTAATAAAAATACGAGTATAAAATAATTAATATTAATAAAATATATATAAAAATTTATATTATAACAATATATAAATTTATCTAATAAGTAAAATAGAATAAAGATATAATTGTAGAATTTTTAACTTGAAGTTATTTTCTAAATAGAATATATAAATTAATTAAATTAATTAAATTTTAAAATTTAAAATAAAGATAATTCAATATCTTATTATAATATATAATAAATAATTATCTATTATAATTACTAATATTTTTATTTTCTTATTTATTATAATTTTTATAATTATATTAATCTTTATTTTGACTTTTTCTATTTATTATTTATATTTATTACTTATCAAATTAAAACTTTATCTGAACTTATAATTAAAATACTTCTTAAGATAAATTAATTAATAATATTTATTTAATTATTTATTATAAGAGTAATATCATATGAATCTTCTTATACTTTTAGTTTAATATTAGTAATTATTAATTAAAAATATGAGATAAAATTTTATCTAGTTTTTATTATCTGAAAAGTTTACATGAAGAATTAATAAATTTAAATAATATAATAATATCTGAATTTTATATCTAATAAAAGTTTTATCTATTTGAAATTATTACTTTTAATAATAGATAATTAAATCTGTCAAGATTATTATTAGTAAATTAATAAAAAGCAAAATTATCTAATAATTCATTAATTTTTTAAAGATATTATTTTATAAAATAATTATTATTAAATTTAGAACTAAATAATTTACTTAATATTGAAAGCTAATATTAATTACTAATTAATATTTAAAATAATCTAGTTAATTCTTTTAAATTATTAATAAATAATTTGATTTAAATTAAAATAGTTATATTTATAATCTTTTTTATAATTCTAATATTTTCTTATTATTATTTCACTATTTATATTATCTAAAATAATTTATACTTTATTCTTTTCATATTTTTGCTTAAAAAAATTATATTTTTTAAAATAATCTTTATAATACTTTTTGATATTTGTAACTTATTTTTCAAGAATATAAGAATAACTATTTAACTTAATACAAGCTAAGTATATTATATACTTATTATACTAATTTATATTTTGATCAAGCACTTAATATAAGAAGTTAATTGATAATAATATAATATTATTTTTATAAAAAAAATATAAAATAAATAATTATATTTATTATTTTTGATTAAATAAATTTTATTTATATATAATTAGACTATATTATTTTTCTGTAATCAACATAAAATCTTTTCTTTTCATTCTTTTTGGAAATTATAATAAAGATAAAGTTCAAGAACTAGTTGATAGTTGAATTATATTTGCTTCTAATATTCTTTGAATTTTCTCTAATATGAATAATTAATTTGAAAGGATAATTCTATAAGATTATTATTTAATAGGTGATTTATTTTCAGTATATATTTTATATTAAATTATATTACTTTAGTCAAGTTGATATAATTCAGTTACAAAAATATTAGTATTATCTTCTAGTAGTTGAGTAAGAAGTTATTCTTGTTTAGCAGTTAATTTTTGTTATTTGATAACTTTTTTTTCTTATTCTTATTTCAAGAAATAAGTATAAGCTTCTTGATGATCAGTGAATTCAAATTTATCTGTTTCTTAACTAAATTATTCTAGTTTTTTTTTTAATAAAAACTGATTTAAGTTGATTAACAGATGCAAGTTGTAAAAATATCAATTAAGCAATTTTTTAATCAGATTCAATAATATAGTTATCTTTTGAATTATTTTAAATAATAATACTAATATTTTCAGTATATCCAGAATTAATAATTCTATTTTTAATATTGATTTCTTGTTTGACAAGATATGAGTAAGATATTACTTAACATACAACTCCTATAGGAATTTTTATGATAATATAGATATTTACTAATATAACTCAATATAATAGAATTCTAATAGTTTTCTTTTTAATATAATAAATATCATATTCAGTATTAGTATAATATATTTTTTCTGATAATTTTTCTTTGTCTTGATTATTGTAAACTTTAACTATATAGTATTTATCATTTTATTTCACAGAGATATTTTTTAAATAATTATTAAACTATTATGAAAATTTATTAAGTATTTGATAAATGATATGGAATTTTTCTTGTATCTCATTTAATTTGAGTTGAGAAGATTAAGTTAAAATAGGAGTAAAATTAATTTCTTCAATTATTTTATTAATTATTACTTTTTCTGAAATCAGTTTCAAAACTATAGGATATTTTTCTTTATCTAATTTAACTAGAGATTCAGATTATATATAATCATCACATTTATTATTATTACAAAAAATTAGATATACTTAACAGAGTTTTATATTGTTGTGATATGAACTTTTAGTAGAATAGTAGTTTAATTTATTGATCACTTCATATCATAATATGATTAGATAAATAATTCTTTATATCTTATTGGACATTAGCTTTAAAGAATATTATTTGTAGATATTTTAGAAGATTTTACAAACATAATGATTATGGTAAAACTATTATAGTAAAGTTAGTAAAACTATCATAGCAAAACTAATAAT